TTTGCAATACCCCTTAATTTACAACATTAATAAGACATTGAGCTAACTAATTGACTTTTTTTAGAATGCAGCAAAAAAAACATAGAAGCATGCTTTTAGAGAAAAGATAACGAAGAGTCCTTTTAGAATAAAAATGATCATTAACAAATACAGTGACAGAAGGAGACTGCAAGAAAATAATAAGATCAATGATGGATAATGTTGTGGACAAGGTGCAAAAGGTGAAGAAAAAATAAGAAGAAACGTGCAAGAAAACCAGGAGCACATAGAGGCAATAACAAAGTATAGAAGAGCGAAAGAGGAGAAAATTTCACTAGGTTGAACGCGGTCGTTCGGATGGATTAAGATTTATCGATTCCTTTCTCTTCACTCTCAATCTTCTCGCCCCTCAGTTGCCCTCCTATCCGGAGGTTGATTCTGCTCATCAATTGCTTCAATCGTGGAAAACCCTAATCCAAATGTAAAATTTCACTAGGTTGAACGCGGTCGTTCAGGATGGATTAAGATTTATCGATTCCTTTCTCTTCACCCTCAATCTTCTCGCCCCTCAGTTGCCCTCCTATCCGGAGGTTGATTCTGCTCATCAATTGCTTCAATCGTGGAAAACCCTAATCCAAATGTACCAAACCTCTCTCTTAAATTATTTTTGTTTGTTATTCAATTGGATTGAATTGAATAAACATATCTCTTAAATTATTTTTGTTTGTTAGAGAATAGAGAAATAGGAAAGAGATACTCCTTCCAAAATGCCTCCTTCTTATTATATTGCATGAGCACATATGAAATATACATACATGTAGATGGGTATAACAGTAAAACACAAGCAACTAACTCTAACTACAAAAGTCTTCACTTATTAACCAACACTCTCCCTTAAGTCAAGTACTTAAGGGGCATAACTCCAATTAACTTCCTCAAATCTTCAAATTTATCATTCTTCAATGATTTTGTGAGTATGTCAGCCAGTTGCAGATCAGTTTTGCAATGTACAACTGCCAGTCTTTTTTGTTCACCAAGTCTTTAAGGAAGTGAAATCTAACTTTTATATGTTTGTTTCTGTCATGCCTCACTGGATTCTTAGACAAATTAATTGCATAAATATTGTCAATCTTCAGCTCGAGTGGTTTTGTGACTTCAATCTTCATTTCTTTTAAAAGTTCTTCAAGCCACATAGCTTGGCATGCAGCAAAACTTCCTGAAATATATTTAGCTTCACAGCTTGAGAGTGCAACTACAGGCTGTTTCTTGGAGCACCATGATATTGGAGCATGGTTTAGCAGAAACAGGAATCCCGATGTACTCTTTCTTTCCACTAAATCACCATTGTAATCGACGCATACCCTATGATTTTAAGTTCTTCATTCTGACTTCCAAAGGAAAACAATATGAGAAAATTCAGTGTTCCCTGTATGTACCTTAGGATCCTTTTGGTAGCTAGCATATGACTTTTCTTTGGTCATGAACCTACTGATCAGACCCACAACAAACGAAAGTTCTGGTCTGTTGTTACAGAGGTAGCGAAAGGATCCCACCATCTGTTTGAACGTTGTTCCATCTACTGCTTCGCCTGATTTATCCTTTGTAAGTTTCAAGTTGGCTTCCACTGGATTTATCACTGAGTTAGATGAAACCATGTTGAATTTCTTCAACAATTCTCTAGCATATTTCTTCTGGTGCATGAATAATCCTTTTGATGTGTGCATGAACTCCATGCCGAGAAAATAACTCAGCTCTCCTAAGTTTGCCATGTCAAACTCAGCACTCATCACCTTCTTGAATGCTTCAATCTTTCTTGAATCAGTCCCAGTTATCAACAAATCATTTACATATAGGCAGAGGATAATCAAGTTCTTATTGTTGTCTTCTCTTACATAAACACCATACTCTATTGTACATTTTGTGAATCCATATTTCATCAAGAAGGAATCTATCCTTTTGTTCCAGGCTCTTGGGGCCTACTTCAGGCCATATGAGACCTTTTTAAGTTTGTAAACATGCTGCTTCTTCCTTTCTACAATGAACCCAGGAGGCTGCTGCACATATATGTCCTCTTCTATAGGCCCATGCAAGAACGCTGATTTCACATCCATTTGGAATAGGGTCCAGTTTCTTGCACATGTTATAGCAACCACCAAACGTATGGTTTCCAGTCTCGCTACTGGTGCAAAGACATTAGAAAAATCCACTCTTTCTTTTGCAAAAAACTTTCGCAACCAGTCTGGGTTTGTGTTTTGACACAGTTCCATCGGGATTCAACTTTTGCTTGAATACCCACTTCACTCCAATACTGTGTTTGCCTGCAGGGAGTTCAACCAAAGTCCCAGTCTTGTTCCTTTCAATTGATCTAATTTCCTCTATCATAGCTTCTCTCCATACAGGTTGTTTCAACGCATCAATTTCATCTATGGGTTCTACTCCTGCCATTAACGCCAGATGAATTAAATCTCCTTCCTCGGTTACTTGATCATCTCTATGCATCTCAAAGGGTACATTTCTCTCCCTCTGTGATCTTTGAGGTGTTGTAATATCAGTTGCATCCTTCAAGCTGTCTTCCATAGGAGAATTGGAAGTGATAACTGAATGTGTTTTCTTTGATAGGCTGGTGTGTTTTCCAACCCAGTTCCAACTTTCTTCTTCTAGAATAATCATATCTCTGTTGAAAACAAATGTATCACGAATGGGATCATACAATTTATATGCTCCCGTAGCATGATATCCGATAAAGATCATTGGTTCACTCTTATCTTTCTTGCAGCTTTGTACGTTTCTGGTCTGGAATATGATTGAATGCTAGTGATCCAAAAACTTTAAAGTGGGTAACTCTCGGTTTCTTCCCTGTCCAAACTGCAATAGGTACCTCTCCATCTAGCTTTTATGTAGGACAACGATTTAAGATGTATGTTGTGGTTGATACAGCTTCACCCCAGAACTTTTGAGTCCTTGTCCTTGATCAAGCTTCTTGCCATGTTGAGTATGGTTCAATTTCTTCTCTCAGCCAAACCATTGTGCTGTGGAGTATAGGGTGTTGTTACTTCATGCACAATTCCATGCTCAATGCAGTGTTGTTTGAAGGCAGTAGATGTGTACTCCCCTCCTCCATCAGTCCTAAGAATTTTAAGCAGCTTATCACTCTCCCTTTCAACTTGAGTTTTGAATCTTACGAACGAATCAAGTGCATCACTATTACGTGCAACCAAACCATCCTGCTATATTCATCAACAAAGGTTATGAAATACCTGTTTTCTGCTAGTGAAGGCACTTCAAATGGACAACATACATCATAATACACTAGTTCAAGGCAATCATTCGATCTCTTATCTATGTGTGTTTGAAACGAATTTCTGGGTTGCTTTCCAGCCAAGCAGGTTTCATACTTATTTTCAGGTAGATCAATGGTAGGTATTCCTGACACCATTTGCTTCGTTCCAAGTTGCTGCAGACTTTTGAAATTGAGGTGGCCATATCTTGCATACCACAACCAGTCAACTCTATTGCTTTCAACAGTAGACAAACATTGCACCTCCATTTCTTGCAAGTTAACCTGAAAAGTTCTGTTCTTGGACAGTTTGCTTTTTGTTTTTATCATCAAATAACTCAATCTGATTATAATGACCCATGATAACAGTAAATCCTTTTTGCACGAGTTGGCCAATACTCAGAGCACATCATATCTGGAACAAATAACACGTCCGCGATTACGACTTTTGATCCATTCTTTCTTTCAATAATGACATCTCCAGCTCCTTCTACTTTCAAGGTACTATCATCAACAAATTTAACTTTGCTCTTCTTTCTTGCATCAAAATTGGTTAGCCAATCTTTATGACAAGTCATATGATTTGAGCCCCCTGAATCAAGATAGCAGGATTCTTGTTTTAAATTCCCTACTGCTGCTATCACCATTAATGTTAATGGTTCTTCAGAATCAGATTCCTCTTGAGCTACAAGCGCTTCTTTATCACCGTTTTTCTTCTTCTTTTATTTAGTTTTGTCATCATAACACTCACTTGCAAAATGACCCATCTTGTGACAGTTGAAACATTCTATTTTCCTTTTATATAACACTTTCTTCTTTTCAAACCCGCTTTTCTTTCCATTTACGTCAGAATCTTCTTCATCAGATTCATCCTTGTTTTGTTTCCAGACTTTCTTTCACTTCTTTCCATTCCATTTACCATGCTTCTTTCTCTCTTCGTTCTTTAAATGGTGAACCTTTAAAACTTGTTCAGAACCTTTCATTACATCTACGAGCTTCATTTCATGTGCCTCTAATGAACTTTGAAGCTCCTCTATCTTTATCTTTGACAAATCTTTTCATTCTTCTATTGCTACTACTATGTAATTGAACTTTGGTGGTAATGATCTCATTACTTTCTCAACCATCATTAACTCAGTAAGAGACTCACCACAACCCTTCATTTGATTTTTAATGGTGATTATTTTAGTGAAATACTGACTTATTCTTTCACTGTCCTCCATCTGCCGTAACTCATATTGCTTTCAGAGACTTTGAAGCTTGACTTTCTTGATTTTTTCACCACCTGTATGGCTCCGTATCAGAATATCCCAAGTTTCTTTGGCCGTTCCAGCATATTAAATCTTTTCAAAATGAGTATCATCCACGCATTGATGAAGAAGAAATAATGGTTTGTTATCTTTCTTCCTTGTTGTTGCCTTATGTGCTTCTGTCGAGCCTGTTTTAGCATCACACCCATTTTCAATCACATCGCTGACTTCTTGGTAACGAAACAACACCTTCATTTGGGTGCTCCACCTATCCCAGTTCTTCTCTGTGAGGATGGGTAGGTTCATCAATGAGATATGATCTCCTCCTGCCATGATTTCTTGGATTCAAGAAATATAATTTTCGCAGTATCTTATATCTCTACTTCTGAAACTCAACAAATATCACACACAGTTGTTGCAAGAAGCTTCTATTTGCTTCTTTCTTTCTTTGCTTCAATCACTCATTCCTTCCACGCAGTGAAGATCACCCTTGTATGTATACTGTTGCATACAATTTCTTGGACGTGATTCTTGAAACAACCAACCCTCAACTTAGGTCGCTTCTGAACCTGATGTTCGGATACCACTTGTTAGAGGATTGAAAAATAAAAAAGAGATACTGCTTAAAAAATGTCTCCTTCTTATTATATTACATGAGCACGTATGAAATATATATATATATATATATATATATATATATATATATATATATATATATATATATATATATATGTAGATGGGTACAATAGTAAAACAGAAGCAACTAACTCTAATTACAAAATTCTTGACTTATTAACCAACAAATATGAGGAATGCCAATTTGCAAGCGAAGGCTAACTTAAAAAAAGCTGCTCAGGAGAAGACAATATACTTACTTTTCCTATTTAGTATTTCTGATGTTATTTTGAACATAGTCTGATCTAATCCACCACCAACGGATTTAGATAAACTCCCTTATAAGCATTCCTTGAAAAAGAAAATAAGAAAAAATAAATAAATGAGATTGTTCCAAATCTAAATTAGATTTATGAATAAACTAGTTTATAGAAACTCTTCAATGTTAACATCTCTAAAAGAGATTATTGACTTTTGTATAAGTTAATTCTAACTGATGGAAAACTTATTTTATTATTTTCCTTTGTATTTTTTTCTCCTAAAAATGTTTATGGAGAAATTTATCCAAATAGATCCTATATTGATCACAAACCTTTTGTATTGTGATCATGGACTTGTGTGAATTGTGTTTCCTTACATTGTGCTGCATGACTTATTGTATTTCTTTATTGTGCATAGAGAACTATTTTTCGGTAGTGGAGAAGAGTCCACAGCTCGCAGGCGCAATTTACAGTATGTGCTTGGTGTCTCAGTTGGCTGGGCTTAAATTATGCTTTCATCTTTCTTTATTTATTGTTTAGTGCTATTTCAATGGAAAATTCAGTCTGCACGATGCCAGGATGAAGTATTTTGGTCCTCTACATTGTGTGATCTTCCAGGACAAAAGCTGGAATGACATCTGCTGGAGAGAGCGTAACGGAAATCCTTCGTCGTTTACAGAGCGAAAGGGAAAGCCTTCTTCGTTTGGTTCAGGTTAGTTGTGAGGTTCTTTTTTCCACGAAACTTTTTGTTTTGTTGTGCTATCTAGTCCTTCACCAAATCTTATCGTTTGTAGTTTGTTGATTATCTTATTCATTATATCTCTTCTGCCTTGATTAGGAGGCTGAAAGAAACAGAAGCACACTTATCCGTACGTACTTTTTCCTCCTCTCTCCCCGTCTATATTGATAATAGTTATTTTATTTGTTCACTTTTACTTTAATTTCTAATTGTATTAAATCATGTTATCTTTTTGGTACATGTGAAATTTGTCGGAAGACTAACAAAAATGTATAAATAATTTTAAGCTGATCAATATAAGTTAGATTCGAAGAAAGGTGGCAGGTAATGAATTTCAAATTAGCTGGCAGCTATTATGTTTACAGCAACAGGCTGCTCCATTTCATAATTTTAAAGCTTTTTTCTTTTGGATTGAATCTTCATGTCCATCAACAATATTCCATGCCCTCAGATTATCCAGATTTTGAAAGCTTTGTAAGAAATTGATGATATTCATTATCCATATGAATTTTTCACATTCTCTTTTTACCAATAATTGAATGTAGTGCAGTGTAAATAAAATATATGTTAACAAACGGAAAGATTTGATAGAAAGCAGGATTATGCTTAGCTAACTTGAATTAAGAAACAGAAGCACACTTTGGTGAAACTGATATAGACCAATATGAAAGGAGATTATATTGACCTTAAATTGTGAAATCAAAGTATATTCTTTCCTTTAGCATTAGTTTTTCCTTTCCTTGGTTTCTCCTTTTTTGCCCCCCATTCTCCTACCTTGCCCTCCAAAAGATTACAAAGTTAAATGAACAAGCATAAAATCTGAGAACAGAATCCCTACTGTCTCAAAGCAAATTCAAGATCCTTGAAAAACACTCTTCAAGTTGAATATTGAAGAATATAAAGTTGAAAAATCTTGACAGCCTGTTAAATTTTTTGGACATCTATTAGGTTGAACTTGTTAATGTTTACAAAGTTTCCTTGAATGTTTGTTGTGTAGGGAATTGACAGATTTGAGCATTTATACGTAGAAAGTGTACTCAATCAGCCTAAAGCCATAATGAATAAGATGTTGTGATGCCATAAATACTAAGTGAAATGAAGATATTATAGTTTGGATTTAAATATGTTGAAGTTAAATGTTCAGTCTTTCTAGGCATGTGATTTTGATGAGGATAATAGTTTTCTTTTTAATTTTACAAGACACTTCTATGGGGTCACTTGGGAATGAAATGAGGAAAGAAAAAGGTATAGTAAGTGGAAAGTAAGGAATTAGAGTGAAGGGATAATAAGAACTTGGATTTAAAAAATCAGGGGAAAGAAAAGAGAGGTCGAAAATTTAAGTTGTATCCCAAATCTTGACCAGCTCAAAATGGAGGCTTGAATGGAATATGAGGGATATTTATTAATTCTTATAAAAGTCCACAATTTTTTTTTAAAAACTATTGCTGTCCTTAACCTTCCTTTAACCATCCCACTAGATCCAAAAATAAGCTTGAGCTTTATGTATGATTTGGCTTATATTGTTTTTTATTATTCTTTGAGGATATTTTATAGGGCTGTGATGACAATGACATAAGTAACTTTACGTATTTGTATATTAACCTGTAAACAGTTCCTATGGCTCATTATTATCTACATGGTAGAGAATAAGAGGGTGTTAGGCTAACCTATGAGGTTCAAATTTTTTTATCTTTGGAGCCAAATTTTTCAATCAGTTTTGACGACTAATTGACAAGTCCTTCTGTTTTTTATTCTACCAAATATCAATGACATAGTTTACAGGTTTGAAATTTGAATTACCCATAGCTCCTTATGTTTAGTAGATTATAATCTGCATGACAGTTTTCTCTTATTGGAATCTGATTTTACGTAAAGATGTTTCTCTGTTCACTATTTGTGCTGGATTTTTTGTTAAAAACTTTAATTCAACGATATTGGTCTTTATGAACTGATATGCTGAAATTGTTTCTATTAATATGATTATGGGAGTGTGAAATAATGATGTTGTTTTGGATATTTGTTTTGCAAAATTGCTTTGATATGTAGAATCAATTGGACGTGAATATAAAAGGCACCTCTCTTCGTTGTCGAGAAGACGAAATCTCCTCTCCGTTAAGCAACGTCATGATGTCATGGACAAGTATGGAAATAAAAGTTGATTTTATTATCACCAAGTTTGTTGTTCCTCAGTGCTATTACTAACAATTAACTCTTTAAATAGGGTGGTACTTGGGTTTGCCTTTTTGTGGTTCATCATTGCTGTTCTTTTTATTGTTTCCAAGCGGATTGAAAGGTTACTGTGGCCATAAAAGCTGCTATGGTGGGACAGGCAGAGCTAAAGACCACAAGCTGTTGCAGATGACTTGAATCTTTATCAAGTTAGAGAACAGTGCTTTGAATTCAAATTTTACTTCAATTGTACAAAGAACAGAAAAATACTACTTCATTTGTACAAAGAACAGTATGAAGCACATGTTATCATCTTTCTTATGATAATAACAATTTACTTTTGTACTCTACTCTTCCTTCCTCTCCGATTACCTTCCACACTCACCGCCGTGCCCCGCTGCCGGAAGCGATTTCCAGCAGCCACGTCCATTTTTAATGGCTCAAGAAAAAGAATTAATCACACAACAAACACATTATTTAGAGACCCAACTTTGTAACTACACAAATAGTATCACGTAGAAAATCAGTTTTGTAATTTCAAATTGCTGCTTATTAAATTTTAACTTAACTTCCAATAATTTTATCTAAGTTAAATATTTTATTTCATAGGCAAACAATATTTTTCCTCCCTCTCCCCGTCTATATTGATAATAGCTATTTTATTTGTCCACTTTTACTTTAATTTCTAATTGTATTAAATCATGTTATCTTTTTGGTATATGTGAAATTTATCGGAAGTCCCATAATTTCAATCATGAATATGCTGAAAAAGTTCAAGTAAATCAGGGAAATCAGCTTTATCATGTTCATCATTGTTAAATCTACAGATCTTTGTAAAATTTCTAAGCCAAATACCTGTTCCAAAATTTAATGTTCAAGGATGGCCTTTGTCTGGTAATTAACAGCAAAAAAATAATTCCATTTGAAGCATGATCAGTAGACAATAAATGGATTCCACAGTATAAACATAAGTAGCCCAGACAACATACAGCAGAAAGAGGACAATCCCAATGTGCTCTGCGGCAGAAACAACCCCAAATGGTCCTCTGATAAGCACAGGAAATGTCCATAGGCGGATACTTGGATATTTGGAACTCTTCTTCCTGCCATTAAAAACAAAGTACAACATATACTGTAAACCAAGGTTTTAATAGAACTGCAATTTCGACCGCATCATCAAAAGTAACTGTAACTGCAATTGCAATCTCATTGTTCCACAATTTTCCAAAATAACAATGATTGTGACAAAACTCTGACCGCATTTATGGTGATGATGAAATTCATTACAAAGATAGAAACGTTTCAGTAAATCACACACCCTTGAAGCTGATCCTCCCCAGTAAGATTTAGGTGTGCAATGGCAAGAAATGCAATTATGAGCAATGGGGCAGTGAAGACCACAAAAATGCTTCCTGCAAAACACAACACATTGGCTTTGAACTCACGTACGCCACACACAAGGTGAAAACAAGAAGAAAGAAAGAAAGATAAACCAACCTGTGAATCCTAAAAGAGAATCACGGTTGAGATTAGTCCATTTTGAAAACAAGCCCTTCACAGGCTTTGCAGGTTGAAAAAAAAATTAAGTTGTCCACAAAACAAAGATCACGCAGATTAAAGACTTGAGAGTCCATTTAGTAACTGACACAAGAGAAGATGATGCTGTCTTGCTTGCATTTTCATCACCACGAGGAGTAACCAAAGGACTATAATCAACAGTGTTTTTCTCCATGGACACAAATTTTTGTGAAACCCATGTACGGATCAACTTAGAGCCACCAAAATGAATTTTTCAACCGATGATGGATAATAGAACACAGTGTAGTGCATGAGTGTACATCATTGAGCTGGAACATATGTGAGTAGAATTACACCTGCTAATTCTACAAGAAGGTTGAAAGATGAAGGTGGATTACAGAGCACCGCTCGTGCCTTGATCAAGGAATCAAGAACCGTAATTAAGATGGAAACAAAAATGAGACGTCAAGGTCATCAACATGACTGACTAAATTTTATTGCGTAGTGGTAAGAGGAAAACCCACACCTTGTCTCGGATGGACAGGCACAGAATCAGAATTTTCAACCTTACTTTCCTCACCCTAGAATTGCGTGAATTATAAATTAACGTAAAAAATTGAAAGATAATATCTTTGAAGGCTACAAATAGGTGAGAGAGAATCTGAGAAAGAGAGTGATTAAGGGCAGTAATAGAAAATCTAAGAAAATGACAGTGGCTGCATGTGAACTCAACATTTCCAAGTGTTTTCTTTTAAATCCTTCTTTTTTCTCTTGGCCATGCAAATAGGACCATTTTTGAAATGGACAAGAAGTCATAGAAGAAAATTAATTATTGTTATTCAATAAATTAATAAAATGGTAAGATATTTGATAAATATTGATTTGATAAATTAATAATAAAGATTTCAGTGTAGTATATGTCAATTTTTAGAAGAAACAAAAATATGCATCTATCATAAAGATACATAAAATCTTTGTAACTAAATTATAATTAAATGCACAGTGAATTTTAAAATTATTATTATTATTATTATTATTATTATTATTATTATTATTTTATTTTTCATTATTATCCAATTTCAGTTTTCCAATAATTTTCCCACATCTGTTTTTACATTTTAAATAGCTATAATAAAGTCTTTTGTCAATTTTCTTCCATAAAAAAATTGAATCCCTTTATACTTAAATAATTAATTAAATGACTTAAACTATATTTTAACTCTTATAAAAAAATAAGTTTGGATTCTTAAATTTTTATTTTATTTTTTCCCTTCCAAACACTTAGAGAATATATAAAGCATTTTCTTTTATAACTGTTCAGTATTATCTAAAAAGAAAAAAAATAAAAGTATTATAATTTAAAGAAAAATAATTATTATTTTATTATTATTTATATATTTAAAAAATATTTCAAATATGAGAGAAAAAATATGATACATAATTAATAAAGAAAAAAATGATATATTTAAAAAGTAAAGAAAGAAAATAAAATAAAATTTAAAATAATAATTTTAAAAAATTAATTATTTAAGAAAATGTGAACACATATACATTTTCACTGATGTTAATAACATGGTAAGTATATATATTAATGAATTTAAGATATATAATAACACTAACTTAAAAACTGGATTTTAAGTTTAATTAAATATACAAATTAACTTTTTGAAAACAATATTTATATTTATTTGTAAAATATATTCTAATATAGTTTTTAAATAATTTTGAAAATAAAATGATTTAAAGGGTTTAGAAACTAAATATTCCACGAAATTGTAAAATTTAGCTTTTTAGTGTTATGAAAAATAAGAATATTTTGACTTTAATATTCTTTTTTAGACGTTTATGTCATGAATAGTGAATTTTGGAACATTGATTAAAATACCCTTATCAGTTCATGAAAATCTTGAAAAAAAAGTAAGAATTTGAAATAGTAAGAAGTTTAACGAATATTTGACTTAAATAATTCAGGAAATTAAGAATATATTATCTCATTTTTTATGTCTATTTACTTTTTAACAAATCTAAAAATTCAAATAACAATAAGACTACAGTTTATTGATTTGTTTTTTTCAATTTCATTAGGTTTAATAATTTAGTTTGTCTCATTATTTTTAATTATTTTTTTCAATTTTATTTCATTATTTAATAGTTTTTTTTTGTCAATTTTATTTCACTCGGTCATAACTTTATTTTTACTTTTGCTGAGGTCAACATGCAACATGGTTATGAGCATAGCTGCATCAGGACAGTAAATAAACTAGTGATTTGGGTTGTAAACCTAAACTTTCCTAGGTTTGTGTCATGTTCCTGGGGCATTCTCTACCACTTCAAAAATAGCTGTTACTTCAAAGGCCCTTTTGATGTCATCAAACCAAAGCCAATTTAGTGTAGTAGGAGGTAATGAAAATTGATATATTTAGAAGTAATAATTTATTTTAGCTAATATTTATACTATTTGGCACGATGGAATTCAACTCACAATATAAGAAAGCTAACAGGTAAAGAGAAATCTCATGGCTATTTTAAGGCATAAATTAATAACAGATAATTGAATACAACAAAATATTTACAAATTTTAAACAAAAAATTAATTCTATATCAGACCTCAACGATAGTAGATAACTTACAAGCTCAACAAAGGAAAGTGTTCACCAAACAGTAAAGATAAAGAGTGGATTTTTAGGGAAGGACATTAGCATTAGCATTTCCGTGATGGTCTCTTCTTCTTGTTTGCGGTTTTCACAGTGCTTCTCATATTACTAGCAGTTATACGTTTATAATCAGAAGAACGCATTTCATTCATCTTCCCAAACCTTGTTTCATAGAAGTGTCATATCTCAGACCTGGCCAAAAGAATTTGAGTAAGGAAATTTACACCTTAAAAATAACAACAGAGAACAAAAAGGAAGTTGTGTTAATTTTACCAGAATGCTAGGAACTGATAGGGCTCATACTTTCCCATAAATGTCTTGAAGATCTCTCTCAATTGTTTTAGACGTTGTATTTTTTGAATGAACCTGCGTTAAGACATCTCATACACATCAAGGGCATTTATAAAAGACAAAATGAAAAGGAAACCTGAAATAGCAACCCTTGCTTTAAGTGTCTAATAGTTTCAGAATCAGTATAGACATAATGAAACAGGAAAAGCAAGCAGACAGCACCTGCTTTAAGTGTCTAACAGTTTCAGAATCCCATGGAATGACATGGTCATATCCCAAGCACATAAGTACATTGGCGCGAGTAAATGGGCCAAACCCCTTAATTTGTTTGAGCTGATCATCAAGCTGCTTATAGCAGGATAAACTTGCATTTTCGAGAGCTCTTCAAGCTGTTCTAATTGAATTTTGCCTTCAACAATTGCCTGCGCAAGTTTTATTATATAACCTGCTCTGTAACCAAGTCTGCATCGCTTTGCCAGAAAACTCTCATCAAGGTTTGCCAGCCTGCGGAAGGAAAATTTCCAGTACGGTCAAAGTACTCTCCTTCATCGGGAACTGATAACATGAATCATCTGATCGAAGCAGCTCTGAATCGCCATTATCTGTTGGAAGCAAGGTCGGGTCTGAACTTGAAACAAGCATGTGGTCCATTTGCAAATTTCCATGCACTTCCACTTCCAACTCTAATTTCTTCTTAAGAAGCATGCTCTTTTTTGAAACCTTGCTTCTCCGGGTCTCTTTAGAAGCTGGTGTCCTGGGAACGAATCCCTCAGTCTCAACTTTTGAATTGCCTGACCCTACAACAGCACAGGGCAATCCATTTTGCAGTTCATATTGAAGCTCACAGAGCGCCTGAGCCATGCTCAATGTCCTTGGCCACCTGAAAGATTTTGTTTTATCAAGTTACCACTGAAAAAGTGTGAAAGAAAAGAACAAAGAGACCCACCACAACAATAGATAGACAAAACAACATCTTCCAAGCCAATAAAGTGAGAAACAGAACAAATATAGTGTCAATAGCTATTTTCGTCAATGAATATGCAAATAGGTGACAATTTAATCACAGAAACAATAAAAATTCTAACTTAGTCCCATGTATAAAATGTGCAACAATTATGTCATGCCCATATGTTACGTGGGACTATCTTTTCATACTATAGTAATTTTTAAAGATCAATTTGACCACACTACTATATTGAATTTGACACTACACTCATTACACATTCAGTGCTAAATAAGAATTCTTGTTATGTCAAAAACTATTGTCACCCATCTATACACCTAACGATAAAAATATTCATTTACCCAACTAAGGCATGGTGACATGACTCACTGGCAGTTGCAGAAGAGAATGCACTTAACCATGTCCTCGAATAACGTGGGAGACCTAAACACGCGTCCACCGAAGCTTCTATTTGGATGATCAGAGTGCACGCTTCTGAACTCACTCACAGCCTTTTCCTCCGCTTCGGAGTACCGCAGCATTCTGCAAACCTGAGCCTAAAACGGCAACGGAAGAAGCGAAATAAGAATGAGTAGCCCGAAATGGAAGAAGCGACCAGTAGGGAGTGGAGTACCGTGATGTGACGCTGTTGTTGAGGAGAGAGGAAATGAACGCCATGAACCCTAACAGCGAGAGATCGGGGGCGCTGGGAAAGGGAAACGAGGAGGGAAGAAGAAGAAGAAAGGTTGTGAATATGGAGTGGACGAGTTAGGGTTTTGGAGAGAGGATTCCAGTGGTTGGGTGGCATCATGAAGAAGCCATGACTGCAGAAAGCTTGCTCCAGCTGAAATGGTTCAGTTCCCGAGGGAAGCTCCATCTCCAATTCGAACCATGCGTCGCTGCAATGTGGCTTGCAACTCTGCTTTTCTGATTCCTCCATCACAATACTCCCTTCCATCCAAAATTTTGATTCTTTGATCCAAAATTTTGTTCGTTAAAACAGTTTTTTTTGTCCTACAAATTTAGTAACAGTCAAATTATGAAAACCTAGGTTAAAACTGATATATCGTTAATAATTTTTCGCATTAAATGAACCCATTGTATTCTTCTGTTTGACAAATTAATTATATAAAATTTAAAAATTGAATTTGATATTAAAAATAAAATAAAAATCTTTTACAAAGTAAGTAAATAGTGAAATGAAATATGTATTGAAACTTAGGTATCAAAATAAATCAGTCTGAAATGTTTAAAAAATAAGTTAAATTATCTAAATAAAATGAGGTAAATTTTGATTTTATCTATTTAAATTAAATCTAAATAAATTTAGGTTAGGCTAGTCAATAATTAATCCATTTTATAACATAATAATTATTTTATTAATAAAATAAAAATAATATTATTTATTATAAAATATAAATATAATAAATTAGTTTGATAATATATTTTGTTATAAGTATATAATTTAGAAAAAATTAAAAAAATTATAAACCTAATATTTATTTGTTTTGATTATTTTCTTGTTCTTTCTTGTTATCGTCACATCTACTCTTAAGAATGAATAATTTAAGATGATATATTTTTAAAGTATATTTTTAAAACATCATGATATGAAAGTTATATTAGATAATAAGACTAGTTTGTTAAAGTAACGAATTTAACTCTAAAATTTATGGGTATTTTATAACTATGTTGAGCAGGAGTGAATTTGGGAGTTAAATAAAATTTTGAATCCTAATTACTAAAAATACTTCAATTACATATATTTTTAACATATATTTAAAAATCTAAAAATGTGTTATCTAATATTTTTAGTAGAATATATTTAAATGTTGATCTATGGACAATTATAACTCCTTAAGACTACATTATTATAACAACTCATTTTTATAATTTTATACATTTAATCTTATTTTACATGAATAAATTATGAGTTAATTTTAAATAAACAAATAAATGACATATTTTTTTAAATTAAAAAAATTATATAAATATAAAAAAATATTTTAATGAGGTTAAAAAATTGTCCATCGATCCGTTAACATAACATAAGATCTCATTGTACTAAAAAATGTTGTCTATTTTAAAATATAGATTATGCTGAATCATTATTTATTTATTTATTCTTATTTGACCAATAGAATTAGACCTAGGCAGCTTGAGAACAGCATATTTGAAACCAATTTTGTTTATATAAAAAAATGGACTTAATAGAATATTTTATTGTATATATTAAATTGGTTCATGAATTAAATGTGTTAGACGGTAAGTTGTTTAAATATTATTGTAATGTTTGTAAAATATATACTTATTAACTTGTTTAAAATTTAATTTACTAAAATACATTTTAAGTTCATTAACTTAATTTACAAGTTTATTTTAAAAAAAGGAAAAAAAAAACATATAACATAATGTTGTTAGTGTTGTTTTCAATGATTTATTAGTCGTAAAAACTGCATTAGGCTAAATCAAAGCAAAATTGTCCCTGTTTTTTTAGTTTATATGAAATTACAATTAACTATTGTGATAATAATTATTACTATTATTTTAAACATACGATCGATTTTGACTTAAACGAAAGAAAACTTGTCATTGATTTTAAACGTCATATTAAGGATTATAAAATATTAAAAAAATTATAAATGCTGATTAACAATTAACTAATTCATACACTCCATTTTATAATATAATTAATTTTGATTAAGATTTTAGAAATCAAAATGCAGAATGTTTCTTCATGGTTGCAAGTCACCTATTAGTCAAATACAAAGAACCAATGAAACGTCTTTTCAATCATTTTTTAATTCAGTTTCTTCTTGTTGTTTTATAAATTTAGTTTAGTTACTTCATCATCTCCACGGTTAACAAAAGATGAAGTCAATGTTGTGGTTTATTCAAGTATCTTTTTGTTATGTCTTAGTTTCTGATGAGAGAAAGAGTATGTCAACTATGTAGCAAGTAGATATATCTTCTCTACATGTTGTGGGCAGATAATGACATATAACATTGTCTGCAGGATTTAGACAGTGAGAGAGTGAGGTTATGGAAGAAGCATTCAAAACCTGATCAAGTCAAATTTACATTGATTGACATCAGGAACTATTTTATTATGTCTTGTAGCCACAATTCAAAACCTTTCTGTTTCTAGGAAGATTTATTGTACATGGTAATAAAATTTTATCTTTTATGCATAGCTTGCAAGTTTCTTTCTTGGTAAATTTGCATGATTTTAATATGGTGTTTTTGTTGACTTTGTATGTTTTGATCCTGCTAGTCATTTGTTCAAATGATGCAGGAATGTGCCATCATTGTTTGTTAGTGGCTGTTTTAAATTGTTTCACCATGTAACGGTTCTTTTCAACATGTTTATCGATTGAATATTTTACTAAATGAGACCAACACCGGGTAAAAGGAAGAACTTTAAGATGGTTGACTTTGCTCCATGGATGTGATAAAGTGGTGGGTTGATTCACTACATTGGCACTGAATCCTTTCAACAAAGGATCTTTTTATTGAGGAATTAGAAGGTTGGATAAGTAGACGATATTCGTTTGGTGTCCTCCCTTAAGTTGATCATGGGTGATGGAGTTCTAGTATTCCTACTACTATTTTTCACTCATCTGTTGATTGTACTAGCAAAAACAGACGCTCGGGATTGTAAGTGCAGTTGTAATCAAATATTTTTTTTCATCATCTAACTGGCACTTTTGGTGTACATACATTCAAATCAGAAATATTCAAACTGTTTTTCAGTGGCAGAATAAAATCTGAATACTTGATGAGAATCAATTTTGAAAAGAGACCTCAAACTTTCACTCTTACCTTCTGTTACAGTTTCTGTGTGACGATTCTGTATGAATTTGATTGCTTTTTAACTTCTGATGCAGCCACTGCTCTGCAAGCTGTCATAAATGAATGGAATAACAAGCCACCTGATTGGGTGGGTTCAGATCCTTGTGGTGGTGGTGGTTGGGTTGGCATTGAGTGTAAAAATACACACATTACCGCCATGTACTTTATCTTTCAAAGATTAATTTTCATTTGAAATCGCTATATTCTCCTGAATTATCCTCTTTGATATTAACTTTGTTGCAACTATTTCAGACGATTACCAAGCATGGATTTGTCTGGTCAGCTTACTTCCGATATTGGATACCTATCTGAACTCGTGGTCTTGTTAGTTTTCTACTTTGGTATTTGTTACACATTATATTCAAGTCACATATAAATGGATTTGAAACATGATCAACTTCAACCCTCTTAATAAGTGTTGACAATGATCAAATATCTTAACTTGTCTGCTGAAAAATGTTGAGGACTGAGCATCCTGAAAATTAACATGTTTGAACACTGTCTATAGTATTTCAAGAAATCTTCATTTCAATTTCATTTACAACTTCCCTGATTTGTGACTTTGTGCTTTGTTGATTTTTCCTTTGCAGGGATCTGTCTTACAATAGGAATTTAAGTGGGCCACTTCCCAGCAACATTGGAAACTTGAGAAAGTTGACAAACTTGTAAGGCAGTATGAATGCTGTTAAGAACTTAAGATCATAACTCAAACATGATTTAGTTTGACCAAATAACTCTAACAGTCCTCTTTATTATTTTATTTTTCAGACAGCTTATTAATTGTAGTTTCACTGGTCCTATCCCAGCTACAATTGGAAATCTAGAACGACTTTACATCCTGTAAGGGTTGTATGATTTATTTTAGAAGATATATACAAAAGTCTCTTTATTTAGCCTAACCAATAAACTATTAATCAGGGTAGAATTTGAAGTATTTTGTACTTCCCATGTGGACTAGGTTTTGAGTATCATATATCCGTTTGTTTGTGCAGTTCCTTATTCTTAATGCTACAGATATCATCTAAGATAACAAAATTGAATTCGACTGCAGATCTTTAAATTCTAATAAATTCACTGGGCCAATTCCAGCTGCCATTGGTAATATCTCAAATTTGTTTTGGCTAGACTTGGCTGATAACCAGCTTGAAGGGCCCATCCCCATATCCAATGGAACTACTCCTGGTCTTGATATGATGCACAATACAAAGCACTTGTATGTGAAATACCTTTTGCAGTAGTTGGCATTATCTATCTATTTTTTCTTTACAATAGTTTTCTTTATGTCTATTAAAATCCTTCTGATGTATTCCATTTTTCACAGTCATTTTGGGAATAATATGCTTTCAGGAAACATACCTCCTCAACTTTTTAGCCCAGAAATGACTCTCATTCATGTGTAAGATAGACCCCAGTACTTACTGGAATTTGTTTGCATGGGTGTAAAGCTCTTGTAATAACAAAAGGCACATGCCATATATTGAATAGAATTTTTCCATGATTGGTTTCATATTAGAAACTCTTTCAGCCATATTGAAAAAAAAAATTTACTTTGGGAAATCAATCTCTATCTAGTTTCATACATCGGCAAATGAGACACTGGTAGGATTGAGATAAAAGTAAAAAAAGGCTAGGGAGGGCAGGGTCAGGATTATGAAAATGATGTATTTATAAAAGATGTTTTTGACAGTCTTTTTGAATCCAACCGATTTGGTGGCAACATTCCATCTACACTTGGCCTTGTCCAGACTCTGGAGGTGGTGTGAGTATCCACATCTCATACCTTGACGTATTAAATAGAATTTGTTTCTTTTTGTTTGAAATAATGAAATATTTTGTGGCTGCAGCCGTATGGATAGTAACTTTTTAACTGGAACTTTGCCTCAGAACATCAACAATCTTACAAGTGTTAGGGAACTGTAAGTAGAAAAAACTAGTATGCCAAATAAATATTCATTAGGTTTATCAATTGTGATAAATTTTGAGTACATTGATGGAGAGTTTGATTTCATGTCTGTCAGGTTCGTGTCCAACAATCACCTGTCTGGGTTCCCCCCAAACCTTACTGGAATGAATTCCCTCAGTTACCTGTAACTCATTTATCTAAGATAACTTTATTTTCTATTTAACATTTGTTATTCAAAATGAATGCAAATTTTCTATCAATGACTAACTTGGTAAATTAAATTAGAGATATGAGCAATAATAGTTTTGATCCATCAGACTTTCCACCGTGGTTGTCAAGTCTTCCAGCTCTGACGACAATGTATGTGTTTCAACTTTCATCTATCAGCTTTCCGTTTCTCTCACAGTTTTCAACTTTTAACACCTTAATCATACTTTTCTTTTGTATGGCAGAATGATGGAGAATACAAAACTTCAAGGAGCAATTCCTGTCTCCTTCTTCAACCTGCAACAGTTGCAGACAGTGTTAGTACCAGGCTGTATTCTTTGGCGTTTTTTGTGATCTGAGTTAATCCTCGAAGTTTGAATATAGTACTTTCATGTAGCTATTTCCATTCATCTTTTATAGAATGAAATACAAGTTAAATTCTTAACGTGGTCCACAGGGTGCTGAAAAACAACCTGCTAAATGGTACTTTAGATATTGGCACATCCATCAGCAACCAACTGGTCCTCCTTGATTTGCAGACTAACTCCATTGAAGTGTTTAAACCACAAATCGATGTCTCTAATGTGGAGATAATGTATGCCATTATTGTTGTGCTTATTTTATTTTAATAGGTGGTTTCATTACTTGGAAGAAAATTTTTCAAGTTTCAATATTTCCTTCTTGTATTTATTTACAAGGTTGATTTTGAAATACATGTATATGTGCAGACTTTTGAATAATCCAATTTGCCAAGGTACTGGAGCTCCACAGAGTTATTGTTCCATTAAAGAATCCAATGACTCATATTCAACGGCACCACAAAACTGTGTACCTGTTCCCTGCAGCTTAGATCAGACATTAAGCCCCAAATGCAAATGTGCATACCCATATACAGGAACTTTCTATCTCAGAGCTCCTTCCTTCTCAGACTTGGAAAACAAGACTGTCTTTGTAACCCTGGAGTTATCTCTGATGCAGTCTTTACAACTTCATGAGACACCTGTTGATTCAGTTTCTTTAAGCAATCCAAGGAAGGACATATATCAGTACGTTGAATTGACTTTAAAACTATTTCCATCTGGCCAAGATCGTTTCAATCGAACTGGGATTTCTGCTACAGCCTCTATTCTCAGCAGCCAAACATACAAGCCTCCTTCATCGTATGGACCATATTATTTTATTGCTGATGACTACGTAAACTTCATGAGTGACACAGGTAAATATGATTGTACGTGGTAATGAAACTAAGTATAGTATGTGCTCCATTTTAAGACTACTCTTTTTTCTTGCCTTTTAGTATTAGAAGTTCCTGTGACAACATCCAGTAAATCTTCAAATACTGCCATCATAGCTGGAGCTGCGGCTGGTGGTGCTGCCCTGTTGATTTTGGTAATTGTTCTATTTGTGTATGCTCTCCACCGGAATAAGAAGTCAATAGGAGCAACTGGGAAAAACAAACCTTTTGGTATGATAACTGTATAATTAGATCCTGCTTTATAGCTATCTATCATCGTGGAGTTCAGTTTATCAAATGTTTGATTTCATAAAATGCAGAACAATGGGATCCGGATGAGAGCAACAGTAGCATCCCACAGTTGAAAGGAGCAAGGCGCTTCAGTTTTGAAGAGATACAGAACTACACCAAAAACTTCTCACAAGTCAATAATATAGGATCTGGCGGCTACGGGAAGGTATTGAATGCCTCTTGTTTACTTCGTTTTTCTATAGTAGTTAAGCAATAGACAATATGTTCAGTTGGTCATACGAGAATTAATGCATTAAAACACTTTATTTAGACCATCTCTTAAAATATGCCTGACTTAAAAAATTTGCATTTTTCTCTTTACATTTTATCAGAATATATTAATAAAGGAGAGAACCTTGTATGTAACATTGGCAACCAAGATAACACATTTAATCAATGTGCTATGTAGTGAAGAAAACATTGTATTCCTGTATCATGTACATATCACTAATAGCATCACATAGTTATGTTACTCTTTCATGAAGAAAAAATGAGAGATTTTGTTGCTTGCGGCTGAAACACGAAACCTTTTAATATTCATTTAGGAAGTTTATTAAAGAATTAGTTGACAGGTTTATCGGGGAACTCTTCCCAACGGGAATCTGATTGCAGTGAAGCGAGCTCAGAAGGAATCTATGCAGGGAGGATTGGAGTTTAAAACTGAGATTGAACTTCTATCAAGAGTCCACCATAAAAATCTTGTTAGCCTAATTGGTTTCTGCTTTGAGCAAGGAGAACAAATGCTGATTTACGAATTCGTTGCAAATGGTACTTTGAAGGACACTCTTTCAGGTACATGTTTATCCACAATTCAACTTCATTAAAGCTTGTTTACCTTAATTTGTTTTAGATAAACATTTTTCTTTCAATACTGTATTGTTTTGAAAGAGCTTTAAAAAGAAGTAATTGTTTCCTAAAGAATATACTGAAAGAAACTGCTTTTATGGTCTGTGTAGGGAAGTCTGGAATTAGATTAGATTGGATTAGAAGGCTGAAAATAGCTCTTGGTGCTGCCAGAGGTCTGGATTATCTGCATGAACTTGCCAATCCTCCAATCATACACAGGGACATCAAATCCACTAACATCTTACTGGATGATCGCTTGAATGCTAAAGTATCTGATTTTGGTCTCTCCAAGCCTTTAGGCGATGGTGCAAAAGGTTATATCACCACACAAGTCAAAGGAACACTGGTTCGTATATTCTAATCTGTATGTCTGCAATGACATCTTAGATTCAAGAATATAACAGATGATAATGGAATTTTATTTTTGATGTAGGGCTACTTGGACCCAGAGTATTATATGACTCAACAGTTGACTGAGAAAAGTGATGTTTACAGCTTTGGAGTGCTGTTGTTGGAGCTGATAACTGCAAGAAGGCCAATAGAGCGAGGGAAGTACATTGTGAAAGTGGTCAAGGGTGCTCTAGACAAGACAAATGGCTTCTATGGTCTTGAGGAAATTCTTGATCCAACTATTGAAAAGGGGACAGCACTGAGCGGTTTTGAGAAGTTTGTGGATCTTGCAATGCAGTGTGTTGAAGAGTCAAGTTCTGACAGGCCTACAATGAATCATGTGGTGAAAGAAATCGAGAACATGTTGCAGTTGGCCGGTTCAAGCCCCATCTTATCAGCATCAGCATCCACTTCATCTAGTTATAATAATCCAACTAAGGGTAGTTCCCTCCATCCTTACGACAATGAATACTTTGATTCAAGTATTGTGCTTCCACGTCCATAAATTATGCCTATGCTGGAGAAATTATTATATGCTTTGGTGCTATGTGGTCTCCATCAATGTCTGTAAAATTAATCCGTTTTACTTGTGCAAATAATGTAAAGAAGGAGAAAAAGTGTGGGGAGATGAAAATGTTGTCTATAGTGTATTTTGCTGTTTGCTTAATTAAGATTGAACATAAATACTATATATATATATATATATATATATATATATATATATATATATATATATATAACATGGTAAAAGAGTATCTAAATTAGAAAAAAAAAAAAATCAAATAATCATGTAGTTAGTTATATCTATCAAATAATTAATTGGTTCACACTGCGAACCCTATAGTTTTAGACTTTCGGCAACTTCTTTTCTTATCTTCTTTTATTACAAACAACAAAACATTGTTTTCATGAAGGTGAAGGCTTTAAGTTATGGAAAGTAACCCTCAGATTATGTTTATTGTTTACAGTTTCAGAAGTTATTACTAAATGGACTCAGTCAATGATGCAACATTACCACTAATCTAAATAATGCTGCACAAACCATGGATCACTCAATAATTTGGAAATAAAATAAAATACCTTAATTATTGATAAAAGTATGATACCAGACAATTACTACACGATTATGGTCTTTTTCTAGGCATAATATCAATAAATAATTCCCCAACTTCTTAGGGCTAAAAAGGTCATAGCACTAGACTAGATTTTTAGGGTTTAGCCTCTGAATCCTTGTCTATGAAACAAGTGCTTCATTTTTATTGTTTTTTTATGCTTGAGAATGATATGGTTTTGAAGTTTTAAACAAGATCACTTGGACTTCTCATAGTGGCAAGTCAAGTTTTCTTGATTGTGATGGGAATTTTTAGTCTCATTCTAAATCAAAAATTTATAATTTTTAACACGTGTACTTACATATGTAAACATCATTGATTTAGTCTACATTCTCATGTAACATTTTTATATGCTCTTAATTTGTTTTCTATATATATATATATATATATATATATATATATATATATATATATATATAATTGTTATTTCATTTTACATTAATTTTTTAATTAATTAATTAGCTCGTGATTATACCACTTCTATTAATCTATTCTGACATTATTATTAGATATTCTTGAAAGAGAGATTTTTATAAATAAAATAATAAATCAATCATAAAAAAATATAACACCACATAAAATCTTAAAAGGTTATATTATTATTTTTTTTTTATAAAATATTTATCTTTCTCATTTTTATCTAGAACTTCAATTTACTTAAATTCTCGATACATTTTTTATATTAAATATTCAATACTTTTCTATGAAACATGAATTAAATCGTTCATATATAACTTAATGAATTATAATAATACATTATTTCAATTCCTTCTATCAAATTTTATATAAAAGCAACAATAATAGTAAGAAAATCAAATTAAATATATTATATATATTTTTTTAAAATTAGGTACTTACTAATTTGTCTCTAATTATGATAAAATAAACTGAGGAATCGAAACAAAAATTTAATAATAATTAAGCATCAATTTTAAATTCAACATAATAATATGACAAAATAATAATAATAAATATTCTTGTAGGAATTTTAACAAAAATATTATAATTTATTATATTATTAAAAAACATTTATTAAATATTCAAAATAAAAATGGGTCTAAAATCTAAATATATTTAAGCATTTATTTTAAAGGAATATATTAAATAATATGCATTGTATTTCTAAGAACTCTTTCAAACCTCAGCTGATGATAATATTAATATATGTCCTCTCTTTTCAACAATAACGACATGTGTGTAGCGTACTCCAACCATACCTTTGACTCGGTTATAAACTTATGACAGAAAAGGAAAATGAAGATTAAATGTCAAATCGATTTTGAGTTGATCAATAACTTCCCTATAAGAGGATATGGTGGTGACTGGATGATAATAAAGAATAGAATTTTGTTATTCAACACTATAGTATTCTTATGAGAGTGGCAAGATTTGAAGTTCCAGTTCAAGTTAATTGATAATGGGTGAAAGAATACTGATATCACTGCTGCTTTCCTTCAGCTGTTTGTTGTTAGCAGTAGCACAAGATATCACCAAAGATTGTAAGTTTTGTTTTTCTACGTGTTCTATGATCATACAAGTCTTCAAATTCAGAAACAAGCAAAATATGCGTGATTCTTCATGCAACAGAGAGAGCCCAGAAACCTTCATAATATATGATATGAGTCTTATCTTCTGCATGCATGTCCAAGTTTAGTCAAATGATATGTGTTACGATTGAAGACTTCAATGACTGAAATACGTAACTTGACTTTTCAACGTAAAATTTTCATGCAGTTGAAGTTCTGAAGTCTCTAAGTGATTCTTGGCAAGGCCAAATTCCTAAATGGGTGGGTTCAGATCCTTGCGAAGGTTGGTATGGCATAAACTGCAGACAGTCTCGTGTTATTTCCATGTAAGGTCTCTTTTGATGGTTTCTGTTTTTTTACCTTGTTTCCATAAGTAATATATACTTTTGAGAGGGTATAACCTTCTGGCTAGCGCTGCAGATCATTAACAGATATGGGTTTGACTGGCCAGCTTTCTGGAGATATTGGATCACTTTCTGAATTGGATAATCTGTAAGCCTTTGAATTTATAGATTGAAAGGATCATATATATGGACTGGTCTACTAAAGGATTAAAAAGAAAAGAAAGATCTGCGCAAAATCCATGACCTTATGTTAGGCTAAGTAATTACCAAGAGTTTACAAACGAATCATGATTCCCTTTGAGACCTATTTTCCTGAATACCTGTTTGTTTCGTAATTGTTTTCTCCTTCTCCAGGGATCTCTCATACAATAGGGGTCTAACAGGACAACTTCCACGAGAAATTGGAAACTTAAAGAAGCTAACAAAATTGTAAGGAAGTGTTGGTTTTTTGTCAAGTTTATAAATCGATCATTTTACCAACAACAAAAGGACAAGGTTATGTCCCTTTCATGAACAAGCATGGTGAAACAAAATTCTAACAAAAAGTGGTACTTTCTGATTATCTTCCAGAACTCTTGTTGGTTGTGGTTTTACTGGTCGTATTCCAGATGAAATAGGATCTCTACAGCACCTTGAATTCTTGTAAGCATTATTTTTTGCTGTTCATCTATTTTGGTGAGACAATTCAAATAATACCCTTTTGGTTGTAAGTTGAATTCTTGGGTAATACACTGAACCAAAATCTTCCTATGGCAGATCTTTAAACTCCAACAATTTTGCTGGACCAATTCCACGTTCTATTGGCAATCTGTCAAATCTTACTTGGCTAGATTTAGCTGACAATCAGCTAGATGGATCCGTCCCAGTATCTAGTGGCAGTACCCCTGGTCTTGATATGTTACACAATGCATTGCACTTGTACATCAATTTTCTTCAGCTTCCAGTTTTTTTATCAATGATTTTTCTTTATGCAATAAAAGATACATCCAACATATTTCTAATATCGTCTGCAGTCATCTTGGGAAGAATAGGCTTTCAGGAGAAATTCCTCCGAAACTTTTTAGCTCAAAAATGACTCTGATACATGTGTAAGAGCTGTCCTAATATTTATCATTTGTAGCCTTTGAATATGATTGAGCCAGTATGCAAAGAGTTCCACTTTCATATATTTATACAAGGAGCACTGGTGTGAAAATTTTAGTTGAAACTTTAGGAACAATAAAATGAACTTGTTACATGTCAGAAACTTTATGTGACTATAGTGAAAACGCATTAACTGTGATATTGTAAAACTGAATATAGATGCAAACATTTACATGTTTTCACGTAGTCTTCCTACTGTCTACCTTCTGATGATGATGAATGGTTGTTAAGAAAGAAATTCTTGAGTATAGGTCTACCATGCACACACACGTATGTTAACAACACATTCTCTAACACATTCTGACATATTTTTACTGGCAGGATATTTGATAGCAATCAACTAGTTGGCAGGATTCCGGAAACGCTTGGGCTAGTTACGAGTTTGACATTGGTGTGAGTGACTATTTGACTGTATTCATCCTCAAAAAAATTCATTGTTAGAATTTTGCTGATGCGTTTTTGCTAAAGTATATCTTTGTGGCTAGCAGGCGCTTTGAAAATAATTCACTGGATGGATTTGTGCCTCAGAGCCTCAACAACCTTATCAATGTCACAGACCTGTTAGCACCTAAATTATAATGTGCCAACTAGAGTTTTATTCTTCTTCATCCATATTTTGGTATCAGAAGCATGGGACATTCAATCTTTGGTACGGAAAGATTTTTAATTTTATACTTTTCACTTTTTTCAGGTTGTTGTCCAACAATAAGCTGCAAGGTGCCCTGCCAAACCTTACTGGGATGAACTCCCTAAAATACTTGTAAGTAACAAAGTGTTTGTCTGTGACAGTTGTAATATTATTACTCCACCTTTATCATTTTAATGAATGTTCTTGTGTGACAGTGGACTAATTCTTCAAAATTTGTTTTGAAGGGATCTGAGCAACAATGGCTTTGACCAGTCAAGCTTTCCACTGTGGCTTTTAAAACTGAATAATTTAATCACATTGTATGTCTTTCTTTTACAATTGTTTCACCCTTGAATTCTCTCTGTATGTGGTTTCATCACTTTCATGTTGGTTGGCAGACAAATGGAAAATGTGTACCTTGTTGGAACAATTCCGGATCTTTTATTTAGCCTCCCCAATTTACAGAATGTGTGAGTTACCTGTCTTAATAATTAATCTTACAGTCTTTACTTTCAGAAATAAACAATATAAATTCGTTACATATCATTTTTTAAGTAACATATATGACAAATACTCTGACATGTAAAGTATTCACAGTGTGCTGAAAAACAACCACCTTGGTGGAACCTTGGACATTGGCACCAACTACAGCCAAAAACTGCAACTTATTGATTTGAATTCAAATTCAATTCAGGACTTCAAGCAACTAAATGATCCCCCACATATCCGGATAATGTAAGCCATACTTGTTAATAATTCTGAGCCTTTTACATAATAGGTTATGTGTCACTTCAAATAAGTTTAGCCTTCTTTTCAAGGATAAGATTCAATATTTACAGGTCTTTCATTTTTTAGCCCATTTACATGACTGAACTATTAACTAATAAGTATTGACGGCACTTTTATCTGCAGACTTGCTTTGAACCCAATTTGCACAGAAACAGGAACAATGGAAGATTACTGCAACCCGTACGATATCTTCGACACAAAACCACAAAATAACTGTCAACATCGTAGTTGCAGCCCGGATCAGATTCTCAGTCCGAAGTGCACATGTGGATATCCATATATTGGAACTTTGATTTTCAGGTCCCCTTCCTATTTTGAATGGAGTACAACAACATCCCTGGAGGAAGTTCTTATGCATGAATTTCATTCTCATCATCTACCAGTGGATTCAATTTTTTTAAACCGTTCAACTGTAGACCAAAATTTTGAGTTTTCAATACAAATTTTCCCACTAGACCAAAATCACTTCAGCCAACAAGATAAATCTAGGATAAGCTTCTTGCTTGGCAACTTAAGTGCTAATGGTCCATATGATTTTATTACAGGAAAACAAGGTGATGGCAACTACACTACTAACTTTTTCACCCTATTATCTAGAGACAGAAATACTAATACTAATTTTTCTATCTTCTTTCTCATAATAAAGGACCTAAAGAGTCAAGTAATTCATCAAGCACTGCAGTAATTATTGGAGTAACAATTGCTGGCTCTTCTGTTATGCTTGTGTTATTAGTCCTGGCAGGTGTTTATGCTTACCGCCAGAAGAGTAAGGCAGAAAGAGCAATATCTCGAAGCAATCCTTTCGGTAAATTATTCTAAACTCAGTTTCTTCTCAGTCACATGAAATTCTGTGGATTAATATTAATGTACACAAAATGCAGGAAACTGGGATCCAAATAAAAGCAACTGCGGCACCCCTCAGTTAAATGCAGCAAGGCTGTTCTCTTTTAAGGAAATTAAGAAATACACAAACAACTTCTCACCAGAAAATGATATTGGATCAGGGGGATATGGAAAGGTCTTGAATGTTTCTTGTTAACTTTAATGTGCTTCTGTGAATTATTAATAGAGTGAACAAGTATGATTCAGACATACCTAGCAGAAGCATTTTTATTTGCAAATAATAATAACTTGAATGGTCAACAAGTTAACCATGATTAATTAGCCACATAGTGATTAATTGTCTATGTTTGGAATATCTCCTCGGGTAGTTCCCTATTCTAATTCTCCCACATTTCTAACCATGATAGCACAGTCGTTTACTCATTCATGCAAACTTGCGTGGCACAGCGACAGAAAGTCATCATCTGTATGCATCTTGTGCTTGAACCTACCGTTAAAACAGACAAGCTAGGCATTCATTAGCAACAAATTTTATAAAAATGTGTTACAAATATAACGTTTATTGAAGAAATTTAACTATATACTTCTAACAGTAGACTAAAAGGTAAAATGATCACAGGTTTACCGGGGAACTCTTCCCTGTGGGAAAGTGGTAGCCATAAAACGTGCTCAAAAAGAATCAAAGCAGGGAGGGCAAGAATTCAAAGCTGAAATTGAACTCCTTTCAAGGGTCCACCATAAGAATCTGGTTAGCCTTGTGGGATTCTGCTTTGAACGAGGAGAACAAATGTTGGTTTACGAGTTTGTTCCTAATGGAACTTTGAAGGATGCTCTCACAGGTACTTATATTATATATATCCAGCTTGATACTTACAGGCTTACAGCACATTTTATTTTAGAATTGGTATGGAATATTTTTCTATAATACATTACATCTATCTTTGGTTGGCTAAAGCACTAAAATGATGCAATTTTAAATCCAAATTACTAATTTTGGGTAATTTTTTTTTAGAATTACGTAAATGGATCTTGATAACACGACTTTATAAAGAAGAAGCTGAGCTATCAAGCACCATTTCAGTTTTTCTTTTTATGAAGTCGTGCTACCCAGCACAACTTACCATTTACAATTTTTTTTAAAAAATTACTCAAATTGGTAATTTGAATTTAAAATTACACCATTTTGATGCTTTTACGGTCTTTGGTAGTACTCACTATTAAGTTTCCAAAGTGTTATCCAAAGGACATTGACAAAGCACTAAACTATATCTGCTTCTTCTGAAAGATAATATACTTACTAAAATCCTAGTTCCAATGTTTCATTTTTTTCAGAAGGTGATATTCAAATCTGTAAATTGTTGCTTAATGAGATATGTCAAATTCATAACTAGGTATTTATTGTACCTAATAAGTAATAGCATGCGAATGATCTATGCAGGGAAATATGGTATTGCTTTGGGCTGGAGTAGAAGGCTGAAAGTAGCCCTTGGTGCTGCCAGGGGTTTGGCTTATCTTCATGAACATGCCGATCCGCCTATTATACACAGGGACATCAAGTCAAACAACATTTTGTTGGATGAGAACTACAATGTTAAAGTTGCTGATTTTGGTCTCTCCAAGTGTATCTTAGATGATGACAAAGATCATATCACCACTCAAGTTAAAGGAACAATGGTTTGTATATATCTTCTAGGAATTTTTACTATTCAAAAGCAGCAAGATTACTAATTGGAAGGTGGCCTCTTATTTTCAAATGAGTGGAAGTAGAATATGATTGATTGCATGTTTTTGCAGAGTCTTAAAATAATTTTCACCTAAATTTTTTCTGAATTACGGTGTTCCAGTGCAATACATACAAATACAAGGAAAACAAATCATATCAGTCTGGAGAAAAATCTAGTTTTTCAAAATCTTTTGCATTGGAGAAAATCCCATTGAACTTTAGGGATGACTGATGAGAATGGATTCAATTTGTTAATGTAGGGCTACTTGGATCCAGAATATTATACTAGTCAGCAGTTGACTGAAAAGAGTGATGTCTATAGTTTTGGAGTGCTAATGCTGGAGCTAATTACTGCAAAAAAGCCAATAGAACGGGGGAAATATATTGTGAAAGTGGTCAAGAATACAATAGATAAGACAAAAGACTTGTATGGTCTTCACGAAACCATTGATCCAGCCATCTGTTCAGGATCAACACTGGAGGGTTTTGAGAAGTTTGTGGACCTTACAATGGAGTGTCTTAAAGAGTCAGGAGTCGACAGGCCCACAATGAGTGAAGTGGTCATAGAAATTGAAGACATGTTGCGATCTGATGGTTTGAACCTTAGATCTGAATCAGTTGCATCCACTTCATCCAGTTTTAGATATCAGGAGGTAAGTATAGTGAGTTCCCAACAAGACCACCCTCACAGCAATGAGTCTTTTGGTTGAAGTGCAGAACATTTATATTCAAGAAGTCAGTATAGTTAAGTTAGTCTTTTTCTCAAGATTGAAGTCAAGAGACGTTTGTTTATTAGCATTTCATGGCCAATACAAGGAAAAGTATAAATTTTAGAATTAGAGTTTGTGGCAGTTAGCTTCAGAGCATAAGTGTGTAACTGGTTCACATTTACTTGACTATCATTTATTTTCTTTCTTTCTCTCCCTTTAAGATGTGAAATGTATAATACAAATATAGGTTTGGATATGGAACATGCAGAATATAAACGTTTTTGTATATATGAGCATGATTTTTCTCTTTATAGACGTTCGAATTTAAGTGTGATCTAGAGTAGACATGTATAATACATAAGGATGAGATAAGACCATGCCATAAAATTGTAATTAGCCAAGTAGAAAGAACCCTTCCTTTGGTTCTTCTAGTGGATTACCCATCATGATTAGGGAAATTTTTGTTTGAAATTTGAACAAAAATTAAAAAACTTTTGAAACCAAAATGAAGACAAAAAGTAAGTTTTGGTATCGTTATCAAAGCAAATAATATAAGCCATTCAACATTGCTATCGGTCATGGATGAGATATCTGTTAGTCTAACCCAATTGTGATTGAGGACAACTAGGCTTGAGAGTTAAGGGAACAAACTATTTGTACATTAGCATCTTAGGTGTTACATTTACTCAATAAAAGTTTCTAGCTCAACTTTTTTATTTTAGTTATAGTGACAACTAGTGGTTTAAACGAATGATGTTAGATAAAAAATCAAAACCTTAATCAATTCTATTGTCTTCGTTGCTCATAATTTGGTTGGAAGATTCTGAAACTCACGACAATCACCACTAATGCAAGAAATTGATAGGAGAGAAGGACTAATTATCTTAAGAGTACAATGTTAAGTATAGAAGAACTTCTAATTTGGTCAAGTTCTTAACTTTTTCTCGCATGATAATTAGAAAAAGGAAAAACTTCAGTAATTTGTCTTATGCATTCATTCAGACACTCAAGTCATTGGTTTCTCCATTAGGGATGAAATGTACAACACATTCTTGCGAACCCTACCATCAAGTTTGGTTCCAACGTGCCACCTCAATCTATTGAATCCAATTCGATCCAGCATTGGTACGTAAGTTTTGTTGAGTTGTGACCCAAAACAAAAGAAATTATCAAGCCAGAACAGACCACCTGGTCTCAACACCCTGTATATATCAAATAATACAAACTCAAGCATGGTGTCTGGTATCCAATTACCCAAGACATCCATGGAGTGCACAATATCCAGTGTGTTGTCAAAGAATGGAAACCTCTGAGAAATGCTAATATGCATCGGTAACAAACCCCTTGATGCAATAATGTTGTTGAAAGGACCATCCAAATTCAGTGTGCTTGTGATGATTAGCACATTCCGTTCCCTCATCCTTGCAGCAAAAGTTCCAGTTCCACCACCAATGTCAAGTCCAATTCGAATTGTTCCTGCAGCTTTGGTTGCAAGAACTTGGTCTATTCCAAAAGCAAGTCCACCATCATCAAATATCCACTTACTCCTCTCTTCACCTTGTAAATCAAAGCAATTCTTGCAGTGGTAGGAGCGAGACTTATTCTTTCTGTCAACAAGGCACTGGTAACTTTTACAAGCATAAGCCTCCCAAACAATGCTGGTGTCTGGTGGGGTTGACCAAAGGCTCTCAGGCAAAGGTGTTGGCTCCACATAATTTGCAGGAGACTTGGGCTGGCATCTTCTACGAGGGAGCGGCTCACATCCTTTGAGCATGAGCCTTTGTGCAAGCGCATCATCCACAGGGCACTCCCCTCCAATCTCATATGCCATATATTGGTTTAACTCCTCATGGAGCTTCATGCAGGACGCACCAACAGCTGTATGAATCTCATCTGATCCTATCATTGGTGAGTACCCAAAAGGGAGCTTGTGAGGGCCAAGTGCAAAAGTGACCTCATCACTTCCTACCTTCAAACTCACCTGATTCTGATCTGCACTGTTGGATATCTTTTCTTGTTGACGCGTGAGATCAATAAGCAGTGCCTGGACAAGCAAGTTAGAGGAGTTGAGTCTGTGGTGCAGTTCAGACAAGAGTGAGTGAGTGGCAGTAAGTTGAGCTTTGGTAGAGTTTAGTTCCTGTAAAATGGAGTTTGAGTCACGAGGACTCGTAGAGGAGTGGTACAAAAAACTAAATGGGCCAGTGAAGATGTAAATGGTAACGAGGTTGGTGAGTATGACTAGTATAATAGGCTTCAGGTTGTGCTTTTGGCTGTGAGCATAAGCTTGCAACTTTTTTGAATATTGTTGGTCATGAGCTTCGTTTCCCATAATGGGTTAGAAGAGGAAGAATCAGAGGTCTGTACGAGTGAACAGAGGAGGGGAAATATTTTGTAGAATTTAAGGTGGGAATTTAATGATGTACAGATCCATGGAGGGAAAATAGTTCCACGTTCTTTACTTGTTTGTAGTGGAACATGAACATTGGTCATTGTAAAGCGCCGGTGTGGACGTTAAAATGTAAATACTATAATATGCCTCGTGATCTGACCCTTCATGGTAGGGAAAATTGTAGCCCCTGCAGGTTGAGAATGCTGTTCCTTCATAGCTTGCTTCTTCTTACTTTACCACTATCTGCGGATCTCGCCCACAAGCTCACTTCTTGTGGCTTGGAATTCCACATCAACCCCACATTACTTCACATTTTTTTACAGATAATTTGGTTGCTCGAAAGATTTGATCGCGAATGGCGTGTTTTTAATGTATTGTTTCTCGTTGGCAGAATTATTTATTGCTATGAGTTCATTATCAAAGTTCAAAGACCCGAGTTTTATGAAGAATTCATTGCAATTTTGATGTTAGCGTGTTCTCAAAAAATGGTTATCAAGAAAGGACTTTGAACTTCGTTTTAGAATTACAGTTCCTCCAATGTTTTAACCGAGCAATTCAAAAATTCAGTCTTTGTTGTGCTTTTCTTTTAGTTAAAAATTAAAGGATAGGAGGTTTTCCCATTTTAATATTTATGTTTCACGAATCTTGACAATGAATGATCTTTAATATGCTTGTTTTATATTTTCTTCGAACCAATGTCCGTTTGCAGTCAATCAATATAATCAATGAGAGGGGTTCTTTCCTTTTTACTTTATTCTTATTATAATTAGAATTACTACATAATTGAAAATAGCCTCTCTTTTTTCTATAGCCTTTTTTTTTCTCCCCTCAGTGGACTCTATCATCAATTCTATCTCAGTATTCTATTCTATACAATCATTTATGTAACGGAATAATGGTTTAAGTAAGAAACCTTCATTGCATTAACGAATTACAAGTGAAAGCTACAAAACCCCTCGAGTTTAATGGTTTGGATATTAAAAAAAAAAGTGTTGATAAGGAGTTGACCCATAATCAATGGTAATTGCATTTATGAGACTTCCTTGGTCAACATGCTAATATCCAATACTGGGAGATTACAACATATATTACAAATTTGGAAAAATTTCAACGACAAGCTACATCCTCAGTATGATTTTTCCACAGGGGATTATCTTGACTAAATTATTGTTTACGTGGTTATTCTTAATAACTTACGAACATCTTAGCATGAAAAAATAGGATATGTCTTTATTGCAAATGTCTCGGGAACTTGCAAGAGGAAAATGACTCCCAGATTCTTTGTGGAAGGTTTAATATTGCACTTTAAGAACAAATTTGACTCATGTGACAATCTTTCTCTAACATTTTGCCTATTTCTTAGTATTATACGACAAAATACTTCTTTGTTCAAGTAGAAAGACTGATTATATAATATTGTTTTATATTATTAGATGCTAAAACCAGATTTCAGTTGAATTCAATACGATTTTAGGTTTTGGGGCTGTTAAAAACAATTGACAGCGGTTTTCCCTGGATTTGAATCTTCTCAAGGGAAAGTGGATTTTAAACCATGTTCATTGCATGAAAGCAAAATTACACACGTAAGGCAAGGTTGACAGGTGATAGAGATACAGCACAAAGTGATCATGAAAATTAGGCATAAATATAACAAAAATAAGATACTAATTAATCTACTTTTACCTAACTTTTCTATCTTGCATAAAAATAAAAATAAAACAGAGATTATTTTTGGCTGACTGAGAAAAACTATATGAAATCTAATTACTCTGTGAGGGTGAGCGCTGCAGGAAGCCTTCAGCTATAAGGCTCTGGGCTGATTCTCTCACAGCATCTTGTATAGGTGTGAAGACAAGGCCCAAGTCTATTAGTCTCTTTGCTGCATCTATACATGGTGTCAGTCCAGGTTGTGTTTCTTTTGGGAACCTGCATGTAGTTCTTGCTCAGTATTACTCTCCCATGCAAAACTTAAACTGAGGCAAGCTCATGCACCAAAATTAAGTTATTTCCTTTACCTGAATTATACATAATGTGAGAAATGTAAGGCAAAGGCCTGTCTTAGAATGCAGGAAGAAAAATTCAAAACTTCACAAGTTTATCACAAAGATTAATGGAAGGGGAGAAGCGACACTAACTAAAACATAGGTTGCATTTTTATATGGTTTCGGAGCTTAATCTTGGTGATAAACCCTACATAAGGGACCAAATAGAATTGCAAAGGAATTAACTTCTGAATGTAGAAGTGTGTGTAAAGAAAATAAGAAAAATTTTACAAAATAGAAACCCAAAATATCACTTCTAAATCAGCTATTACAAAAGTTCGCACTCTTACCATATGGAACAATCTTGATCTATAATTGGATAACAGTGTAAATTCTGAGTGCATTCATATTAAAGTTTCTATTAAATTCAAATGAGAACCCTACCAGGATTTGACGTAAATTTTCTCTTAAATTAAATTAAGAAAATGAGCAAACAATCAAACCTGTGAATAGCGAATTCAGGGTACAACTCAGATACAGTGGCAGCAAAACTAGAAAACTGGTAGATAACATTGGTGCAGAGATATCTACCAGCAGCAGCGGGAGTTTCATAGAGTAACACATGAGCTTTAGCAACGTCCTTCACATGCACCGCACCCAACCAGTGATGCTCCTGCGTCTCCCTCGATCCCATCATCAGTCTCTGAAGGACGCCGGAGCTCGCGTTCAGCTCCGGCTGCAGCAGAGGCCCCAGACACGTCGAGGGCAGAACCGCCACCACCTCAACCCCGCCCTCGAACCCCCACGCCGCCCTCTCCGCCACTGGGTACCATTTCCCCCTCCCCCTACAGAACTCCACGACGCCTCGTCCAATGCCCTTCCCACCGGCCACCCCGGATTCGGCACCAACGCGGAGATCGATGAAGTGAGCACCACGCGCCGCAGACCCACGCGCCTCGCGGCTTCGAGCACGTTCAGCGTGCCCTGCACCGCGGGTTCTAAAAGCTCCCTGTGAGGGTCCGCGGGGTCCTCGAGCATGCAGGGGGATGCCACGTGGAAGACGCTGGAGCAGCCGTCGACAAGGGTGAAAAGATGGGAGGCGTTGGAGCCGGGGAAGACGGTGGCGTGGATGGTGTAGCTGGGGTTTGGGTTCTCCAAATGGTTCGAACCAGCCACGAACCGATGAAACCGTTGGCGCGGCACACAACCTCGTCGCAAGGATGACTAGAAATGATTTTCTACTGAACGGATTGATCCCTTCTTCGCATTTGGTTTTCTACTGTTGCAGATGACTTAAATCTTTATCAAGTCAGAGAAGAGTGCTCTGAATTCAGATCTGAAGCTGCACTCTAATGCTGCACTCTAATAATACCATGAAGTCGAAATTAACAGTGAACTTATTTCACTCTCTTCGTTTTACGTTTCAACTTAAAATTTTAAGTCATTTGTACAAAGAACAGAAAAATACTAGCATAAATGACAAAGTTGTTTTGTCTGAAACAGAAAAAAATTGGATACTAATATTCGTATATGTTATCTTAGCATAATAACAATTTATATTTGTCCTCAACTCTTCCTTCCTCTCCGATTACCTTCCACCCTCACTGTCCCTGCTGCCGGAAATCGCTTCCGGCAGGCACGTCCATTTTTAATGGTTTAGGAAAAAGAATTAATCACACAACAAACACATTATTTAGAGACCCAACTTTGTAACTACACAAATAGTATCACCTAGAAAATCAGTCTGTAATTGCAAATTGCTGCTTATTAAATTTCAACTTAACTTCCAATAATTTTATAAGTTAAATATTTTATTCCATAGGCAAACAAAACTTATTTTTAAACTTAATAATTTTGTTAAAGAATTTGGATATTTGCCTGAAATAAAATCACATTTAAACTTATATAAAATAACGGTACAAGCAAAGTTTTTTTTTTTATATTCAATCATAGAATTTATTACATTGTTATGAAATAAAAAGATTTAGAATAAATAATTTTTTATTATAAATATTATTTTCAATAAATATAAGATAAATAAATTTAACTACTATCTTTAATTTTTATGTATATTAAATTTTGGAAGAACGAGTCACTAATAAACACTATAAAATAATTAAAAATGTTGTGGACAAAGTAATGGGGAGGTGGTAAAGGTGAAGAAGGAATGGAACAAACTTGCAAGAAAACGCAAAGCAGAGACAATAGCAATAGCAGAGTACGGAAGAACATGAGGAGAAAATTTCACTAGGTTGAACGCGGTCGTTCAGGATCGTTCACGTTCAGGATCGTTCAGGATGGATTGTGAGTTTTAGTTTGTTTGCAACATCTATTGTTAGTGTATTTTTATTATTTTAAAAAAATTTGAACAGTTTGTGGTCGAATATGAGGAATGCCAATTTGTAAGCGAAGGCTAACTTGAAGAAAGCTGCTCAGGAGAAGGCAATAATATACTTACTTTTCCTAATTAGTATTTCTGATGTTATTTTGAACATAATCCTGATCTAATCTACGACCAACCTAGTGAATTTAGATAAACTTCCTTATAAACATTCCTTGAAAAAGAAAATAAGAAAAAATAAATTAATGAGATTCTTCCAAATCTAAATTAGATTTAGCTTATGAATAAACTAGATATTAACATCTCTAGAAGAGATTATTGACTTTTGTATAAGTTAATTCTACCTGATGGAAAACTTATTTTATTATTTTTCTTTGTATTTTTTTCTCCTAAAAATGTTTCTGGAGAAATTTATCCAAATAGATTCTACATTGATCACAAACCTGTTGTATTGTGATCATGGACTTGTGTGAATTGTGTTTCCTTACATTGTGCTGCATGACTTACTGTATTTCTTTATTGTGCAGAGAGAACTATTTTTCGGTGGTGGAGAAGAGTCCACAGCTCGCAGGCGTAATTTACAGTATGTCCTTGGTTTCTCAGTTTGCTGGGCTTAAATTATGCTTTCATATTTCTTTATTTATTGTTCATTGCTATTTCAATGAAAAATTCAGTCTGCACGATGCCAGGATGAAGTATTTTGGTCCTCTAAATTGTGTGATCTTCCAGGACAAAGGTGGCATTACATCTGCTTTAGAGAGCGTAACGGAAAGCTATCTAGTCCTTCACCAAATCTTATCCTTTGTAGTTTGTTGATTATCTTATTCATTATATCTCTTCTGCCTTGATTAGGAGGCTGAAGAAGGAATGGAACAAACTTGCAAGAAAACGCAAAGCAGAGACAATAGCAATAGCAGAGTACGGAAGAACATGAGGAGAAAATTTCACTAGGTTGAACGCGGTCGTTCAGGATCGTTCACGTTCAGGATCGTTCAGGATGGATTGTGAGTTTTAGTTTGTTTGCAACATCTATTGTTAGTGTATTTTTATTATTTTTAAAAATTTTGAACAGTTTGTGGTCAAATATGAGGAATGCCAATTTGTAAGCGAAGGCTAACTTGAAGAAAGCTGCTCAGGAGAAGGAAATAATATACTTACTTTTCCTAATTAGTATTTCTGATGTTATTTTGAACATAGTCTGATCTAATCTACGACCAACCTAGTGAATTTAGATAAACTTTCTTATAAACATTCCTTGAAAAAGAAAATAAGAAAAAATAAATAAATGAGATTCTTCCAAATCTAAATTAGATTTAGCTTATGAATAAACTAGTTTATAGAAACTCTTCAATATTAACATCTCTAGAAGAGATTATTGACTTTTGTATAAGTTAATTCTAACTGATGGAAACTTATTTTATTATTTTCCTTTGTATTTTTTTCTCCTAAAAATGTTTCTGGAGAAATTTATCCAAATAGATCCTACATTGATCACAAACCTGTTGTATTGTGATCATGGACTTGTGTGAATTGTGTTTCCTTACATTGTGCTGCATGACTTACTGTATTTCTTTATTGTGCAGAGAGAACTATTTTTCGGTGGTGGAGAAGAGTCCACAGCTGGCAGGCACAATTTACAGTATGTCCTTGGTGTCTCAGTTTGCTGGGCTTAAATTATGCTTTCATATTTCTTTATTTATTGTTCATTGCTGTTTCAATGGAAAATTCAGTCTGCACGATGCCAGGATGAAGTATTTTGGTCCTCTAAATTGTGTGATCTTCCAGGACAAAGGTGGAATGACATCTGCTTTAGAGAGCGTAACGGAAAACCTTCGTCGTTTAGAGAGCGTAAGGGAAAGCCTTCTTCGTTTGGTTCAGGTTAGTTGTGAGTGTTTTTTTTTTTTTTTCACGAAACTTTTTGTTTTGTTGTGCTATCTAGTCCTTCACCAAATCTTATCCTTTGTAGTTTGTTGATTATCTTATTCATTATATCTCAGGAGGCTGAAAGAAACACAAGCACACTTATAGGTAGGTACTTTTTCCTCACTCCGTCTATATTGTTAATAGTTATTTTATTTGTTCACTTTTACTTTAATTTCTAATTGTATTAAATCATGTTATCTTTTTGGTATATGTGAAATTTATTGGAAGACTAACAAAAATGTATAAATAATTTTAAGCTGGTCAAAATAAGTTAGATTCGAAGAAAGGTGGCAGGTAATGAATTTCAAATTAGCTTTCAGCTATTATGTTTACAGCAACAGGCTGCTCCATTTCATAATTTTAAAGTTTTTTTTTCTTTTGGATTGAATCTTCAGGTCCATCAACAATATTCCATGCCTTCAGATTATCCAGATTTTGAAAGCTTTGTAAAAAAGTGATGATATTCATTATCCATATGAATTTTTCACATTCCCTTTTTACCAAAAATATATATATCTTAACAAACGGAAAGATTTGATATTAGCTTACTTGAATTAACATAATGTGACCTTAAATTGTGAAATCAAAGTATATCAGTAGAAAATGAAATCATGCAGAAAATCAAAAGAAGAAAATAAAAGAATAGGAAGATCTCAAGAAAGAAGGGATGGATGCTAACTTTCGCCATAGCCCAAGGATGATTCCATCCACTCCCCTCCTCTTTTCAAAATTAAATATCTACCCTCTTTGACACCACCCTCCCATCTTGAATTACTTATGGGCCTCACTCAATTTCCATTTAGCATAAGTGTCTTTCCCCTTAATCTTGGCGTGGTCCTCTTCCCTCTTTTTCTGGAGTTTACCTTTGATATGTTTGGGCCATGACTTAAATGCTGCATCATTTTTCCCTTGACAGTAGCCACTGAGTTGGGCTCCTGAGTTTCATCAGAAACTTTTCAAGTTTCTCTCCTTTTCTTCTTTTTCAGCTTGACCTCTGTATAGTGTTAGGCCAATTTTATTTTTATTTTTTTACCTTTCTAAGCCTTGGTGTCATGTTACTCAATTTTTATGTGTCTAATGTTCTTTCCTTCAGCATTAGTTTTTCCTTTCCTTGGTTCCCCCCATTCCCCTACCTTGCCCCTCCAAAAGATTATAAGTTAAATGAAGAAGCATAAAATCTGAGAATAGAATCCCTACTGCCTCAAAGAAAATTCAAGATCCTTGAAAAACACTCTTGAAGCTGAATATTGGAGAATATAAAGTTGAAAAATCTTGGCAGCCTGTTAAATTTTTTGGAAATCTATTAGGTTGAACTGGTTAATGTTTACAAAGTTTCCTTGAATGTTTGTTGCGTAGGGAATTGACAGATTTGAGCATTTATATGTAGAAAGTGTACTCAATCCGCCTAAAGCCATAATGAATAAGATGTTGTGATGCCATAAATTACTAAGTGAAATGAAGATATTATAGTTTGGATTTAAATATGTTGAAGTTAAATGGTCAGTCTTTCTAGGCATGTGATTTTGATGAGGATAATAGTTTTCTTTTTAGTTTTACAAGGTAAGACACTTCTAAGGGGTCACTTGGGAATGAAATGAGGAAAGAAAAAGGTATAGTAAGTGGAAAGTAAGGAATTAGAGTGAAGGGATAATAAGAACTTGGATTTAAAAAATCAGGGGAAAGAAAAGAGAGGTCGAAAATTTAAGTTGTATCCCAAATCTTGACCAGCTCAAAATGGAGGCTTGAATGGAATATGAGGGATATTTATTAATCCTTATAAAAGTCAACCAATTGTTTTAAAAAACTATTGTTGTCCTTCACCTTCCTTTAACCATCCCACTAGATCCAAAAATAAGCTTTATGTATGATTTGGCTTATATTGTTTTTTATTATTGTTTGAGGATATTTTATAGGGTTCCGATGACAATGACATAAGTAACTTTACGTATTTGTATATTAACCTGTAAACAGTTCCTATGGCTCATTATTATCTACATGGTAGAGAATAAGAGGGTGTTAGGCTAACCTATGAGGTTCAAATTTTTTTTATATTTGGAGCCAAATTTTTCAATCAGTTTTGTCGACTAATTGACAAGTCCTTCTGTTTTTTATTTTACCAAATATCAATGACATAGTTTACAGGTTTGAAATTTGAATTACCCATAGCTCCTTATGTTTAGTAGATTATAATCTGCATGACAGTTTTCTCTTTTTGGAATCTGATTTTACGTAAAGATGTTTCTTTGTTCACTATTTGTGCTGGATTTTTGTTAAAACCTTTAATTCAACGATATTGGTCTTTATGAACTGAGATACAGAAATTGTTTCTATTAATATGATTATGGGAGTGTGAAATGATGATGTTGTTCTGGATATTTGTTTTGCAAAATTGTTCTGATATGTAGATGAATCAACTGGAGTCTTAAAAAAGACTGAAAGTGAATATAAAGGGCACCGCTCTTTGTTGTCGAGAACACGAAATCTCCTCTCCGTTATGCAACGTCAAGATGTCATGGACAGGTATGGAAAAAAAAGTTGATTTTATTATCCACCAAGTTTGTTGTTCCTCAGTGCTATTACTAACAATTAACTATTTAAATAGGGTGATACTTGGGGGTTGGCTTTTTGTTGTTCACCCTTGGTGTTCTTTATGTTGTTTCCAAGCGGATTTGACTACTTGCGTTGCAGAGAAAGGTTACTGAGGCCATAAATGCTGGTATGGTGGGACAGGCAGAGCTAAGACCACAAGCTGTTGCAGATGACTTGAATCTTTATCAAGTCAGAGACGATCATGTTCATAATATAGAGGCTCCTTTAGAACAAAGAATACATGATGAACTATGATGCATTTCTAAGCTATATTTGTCAGTAGTGTTTATTTGTATACATTGTGATCCTATACCCTCACAATTCAGCATTCTCTTAATGCTTAAATATGACAAAAGTAAAAGTATTTGTAATCTTGAGAGTTCGAAAAGCATTTATACATTTTGTTTAGGTAAGGATTATTGATTGATATGTTATAATGAATTAAAAAATCTCTTTCTGTAGCTATTTTAGTTTCCGCCACATACCCTCTAGCATGAGCAAGCTCGTAATTGTTGACGAGTTGTCTCTACCTTTTTATTGTCACATCACCCGTATTTAAGATCTGAAACTGACAAGAAATATTAGAAAGCATCATATAATAACATTGGCGCCACAATAATTTCCAGGTATTTATCAAAACAAATACAACTGAGTGAGTTCAGATGCAATGAATCCGTTATCATAATTTCAGAGTCATGATTGCAACATATGCAACGTAAACAAATGTTATTAAAAAATAAAACCAAATTTGAGGTTTTTGTTTTCGTGCGCATTAACTTGTATTATGATTAACGTGTCCCTCTTTCCAAGTGTGTGGGTAATTGAGGTAAATATTCGACCCAATTGAAAACATGTAAAACTTTATTTTTCTAGTGAAGTATTGTGTACATTGTCAGATATACCATTAAAAGTATAACTTGTGTAGATTCTATTTATACAATTTTGATAGATTAAAAAACAAGAATAGACAAACTATCACGCGATATAAATATTTGACTGCTTGCTTGTTAAATAAAATGATAAAAATTTAATTGAATTTGTTTTTTTTATACTGTAATTCAATTATCAACTGGTAAAGTCTTCATGGATATCCACATAAAAATCTATGTTGTAGTATAGTTATAAATAATCTTGCTCTTTAAGTATATCGGTAGAAATCCAACCCTAAGAATTGTATATGAAAAAAATTATTAAAAAGAATCTTAATTTTGACAAAAATGAATCCCACAAACCAATATTAATATTTAAAGAAAAAAATCTGGATGGATAAATTTTTATATATCAATATGATTCAGTTAAAAAGTAAATTTGTATTAGAGATTTGTTAAATTTGATAAATTTTCACGTATCAATAAGAATAGGTATATAGTACAAAAAGTAGTTTGGGACACTGAGATTATTATGTTCGGTAGAATTTGGGAGGTAAAAAGTAAACCGTGTTTTAATTAGACATTTTCTTAAGAAATCTCCTTATGAATTATTCAAAGGTAAAAAGCCAAACATTAACTATTTTAGAGTATTTGGAAGTAAAGTTTTCATCTTAAACAATGGAAAAGAAAATCTTGGAAAGTTTGATTCCAAATCTGATGAAGGTATATTCTTGGGGTACTCATTAAATAGCCATGCTTATAGAATCTTTAATAAAAGGCTAAATACTGTAGAAGAATTTTTCCATGTTATATTTGATGAGACTAACCCGAATATGCAGAAACTTTCTGAATATAGTACAGAGGAAGACATTTTAACTGATAAAATGTATCAGTTAAAACTGCCAGAACCAACAGTTTCTCAACAACAGATTGAAGAAATTGAAGAAACTGAAGAGGAACTGCCCAAGGAATGGAAAACTCCAAGAAACCTTTCAATTGACAACATCATTGGTGAAATAAATCAGGGAGTTTCCACTAGAAGATCTCTAAATAAGTTTTGCAATCACATGGCATTTGTATCTCAAATTGAACCTAAAAACATATCTGATGCATTAAAAGATAATAACTGGATTAATGTTATGCATGATGAATTAAATCAATTTACAAGAAATGAGGTATGGGAATTAATTCCAAAACCAGATAATGCCAATATTGTAGGAACAAAATGGGTTTTTAGGAATAAAATGGATGAAAACGGCATAATAACTAGAAACAAGGCCAGATTAGTTGCTAAAGGGTATACTCAGCAAGAAGGAATTGATTTTGATAAAACATATGCTCCAGTAGCTAGATTAGAAGTTGTTAGACTATTACTTGTCTATGCTGCAATTAAAAATTTCAGGTTATTTCAAATGGATGTCAAAAGCGCTTTCTTGAATGGCTACTTGAATGAAGAAGTTTTTGTTACCCAACCACCTGGGTTTGAAGATCATATTCATCCAGAATATGTTTATAGATTGAAGAAAGCTCTGTATGGTCTCAAACAAGCCCCAAGACAATGGTATGAAAGGTTAAGTAACTTTCTTATTTCAAAGGGCTATCAAAGAGGTTTGGTTGACAAAACTTTATTTCTAAAGAAAGTGAATAATGATGTGATTTTGGTTCAAGTATACGTTGATGACATCATATTTGGAGCTACTAATGAGTCTTTATGTAAAGATTTCATCAAAGATATGCAGGGGGAATTTGAGATGTCTATGATGGGGGAACTTAACTACTTTCTTGGATTACAAGTTAAACAACTTCAAGAAGGAAGCTTTCTTCATCAATCCAAATACTCGCATGTAACTCTTAAAGAAATTTGAGATGGAACACCGCAAGGAGGCATCAACACCTATGTCCACAAATTGTTATCTTGACTCGATGAAAAAGGAAAATATGTTGATGAAACTAAATATAGAGGGCTTATTGGTTCTTTGCTATATTTAACAACAAGCAGATCTGACATTATGTTCAGTGTTTGTATGTGCGTCGAGTTCCAATCCGCACCAAAAGAGTCTCATCTTATCGCTGCAAAAAGGATCCTCAAATATCTCAAAGGAACCTTAAATGTTGGGTTATGGTATCTAGGTGAGTCAAAACTAAATCTAGTTGGATACTCGACTCAGATTTTGCAAGTTGTAAGCTTGACAGAAAAGCACCAAGTGGCACCTGTCATCTCCTCGGAAGCGCTCTAATTTCATGGCACAAGAAAAAGCGATCATGTGTTGCTCTTTCTACAGCTCGAGGCGTAATACATTGCAGCTGGGAGTTGTTGTGCTCAATCTCTTTGGATCAAACAACAGCTTGAGGATTATGGTTTAATTCTCGAAAAATTCCTCTCTTGTGTGATAATACTAGTGCTATTATGTTAACAAAAAATCCAATCCAACATTCTAGGACAAAGCATATAGAAATAAGACATCATTTCATTAGAGATCATGTTTTGAAAGGTGATTGCGAAATTTTCTTTATAGAAACTGAAAAACAACTAGCATATATTTTTACAAAACCTCTTGCTCGTGATCGGTTTTTCAAAATTCGCACTGAATTAGGCATTTTAGATGCATCAAACATTAATTAGATTTCAAAAACTAGTTGTTTTAATCAATAAAAAAATCTTTTAAATCGATTAAAAGAATTTATACAACATTTTTCCTTATGTCTTATATTTCAAAGTCCTTCACTATTTTAATCGATTAAACCGTTATTTCAATCGATTAAAATCATTAAACATGAACTTTTTAATCGATTTTATCTTGTTTTTAATCGATTTTTATTCTGGAAAGAAAAATTAAAGGCTTTAGTTAATGGTTGTTCTTGTAACATGCTACTAAAGCGTGATTCCCTTATCTTTACACGTGTTAATTGTATTCATTACAAACGTGTTAATGAAGATAAGTTTGAATCAACTTTGATTGATCTTTACATGAGTAAAGTATCGTATTTTTCATTTTTTTCTATTTTCAAAATCTTTTCAATACATACCTATGCATTGTTTCTCTTCTGTTCCCTATTTTATTGATGAAGTCAAAAGGGGGAGAAATAGTTGCTTTTACTTTTGATCAATTTAAAGGGAGAAATAACTCTTAATTTAGGGGGAGCAACAATTTAGGGGGAGAAATAGGAAGATAATTCATTTTTGATTACTCATTAATCTGTATTATCAAGTGACTTCTTTTGCAGAGTTTTGTTTTCAAAAGTGGTGTTTGTCTTCATCAAATAGGGGAGACTGAAAGTGATGAAGATCTCATTGAAATACTTTGGCAAAGATCTCATTGATTTGATGAAGTCAAAGATGAAGTCAAAAGCAACTTTGCAAGTGGACAAAAGTCACTAAGATAAAAGAGTAGAAGAATTAGTGTGTCTTCGACTATGCTTAGGTATAATCATTTTATCTTTTCTCGCCGCATGAGGTTTCTTCAATTAAAAGATTTTGCAAAATGCCTCTAAAAATGTTTTTAACAATTAAAAACAAATTATTTTGACAAAAGCTTTCTTAAACAAATTTTTAACCGATACAGACTTTGATAGAACCGATTAAAATTACTTAGAATATTCAGAGAAGTGTTTTTACAAGTATTTTAATCGATACAACTTGATTTTAATCGGTTAAAACCACTTGGAGTTCGTGATGATCGATCGAATACAATTATGACCTATCGAGATCAGATATGATCGATCGAATTGAATTATGACTGATCGTAATCAGCTTATGAGCGATCGAATTTGGTTATGACCGATCGAACTCTTTTAATCGATTAAATCTCGTTTCAATCGATTAAAACAACTTAGAAAATTTCTACACAGCCGCTTTAATCGATTAAAACTTATTTTTATCAGCTTAAAATAACTTGAAAAGTTTTACAAGAAAGTTTTGCAGTATTTCAATCGATTGAATTGCTAAACAATCGATTAAATCAACTTAGAAGATTTTTTGTAAAGTATTTTAATTGATACAAACGTTGTCAGTATCGCTTAAAACAAATCTGTTAAAGAATCAAGAATGTATTAATGGATTAAAAGAAGTTTTAACAAATTAAAACTGCACTTTTAACAGATTAAAAGAATCTTTTAACAGATTAATTAATACAGCTGTTTTGAAAATCTTCTATAAAAACAGAGTTGCTTAAACTTTTTAAACACACATTTCAACATCAATCCTTGAGCAATCAATCAAGCAAACTTTAGCACTCTTTTCAAGAAAGATTCGCATCAGTTTTTGAGAAGTTCTTTGAAAATCTTTCTTGAGGCAACTTGATTTCTTTTGAAGAAGAAACACTTACAGCAGAATTGCATAACCTGATTTGAGCATTCTAGTTTCTTCTTTTTCATTTCTTTACATTC